CTGCAATGAGGGGCCACTTCAATGTCAATTGCTTCAAGAGGGTCTTCACAGAAGGAAGCATTGCCAGAACAATGCTTTTGAGAGGATCAGAAATATTGAGGTACTTGAGAATATCGTCCACAATTTTATCAAATGAGAACAACCCAGATGAAGAAGGGGCTTCTGTTCTTAAAAATGGGACATCAGGGGTTTTGGATGTCCCCGGGAGAGGTGGAAAATCCTGGGTATAGTCAGTTCTTCTGAATCCAGGAGGAGTAGAAACTTCCTTTTTTCCACCACTCCTTGATTTGGGCAAGCTGATTTGGGGTTCTTCATTCTCAACTTTCCGCGAACGGATGCGTTTTCGTTTCCGTGCTGAAAAACAGAAAGAAGTTCCCTCCTCAGCCAAGTCAGAGTCAGTCTCGTCATCTGACAAAAGAGAAAAGGGATTTTTGTCGTTGGTCGATGGCGTGGCCGTCTTAAGCATTTCTGCAAAAGACTGCCGGGAACGTTCCTTAAGTGAGCGTTGTAATTTCTCCCCGCGTTGTTTGTACACCGGGCATGACGAGATACCATGAGGAGTTCCCTTACAGTACACGCATTTTGGTGCGGTAGCTGCACAGGTGTCATCCTCATGCTTCTCTCCGCATTTGGAACAGCGTGCCTTGCTGCCACAGTGGGAGGCCGTATGTCCCAACTGCTTACAGTTTTGGCAGTTCATGACCCGGGGAACGAACAAACGCACAGGTAGTCGAAGTTTTCCCAGCTCGATGTAGTGAGGAAGGGCTGAACCAGAAAAGGTCACACGGAACGAGTCTGTGGGGGTAAAACTCTTTTTACCCTCGCTGACAGATACTGAGCCCAGTTTTTGGACATCCAGTATCTTCACCGGGGGAAGCAAACGGTTCTTGAAACGGCCAACCGCCTGCTTCTCCAAGATCTCGGGGGTCAGACTCGCTTCGGTGACCACACCTTCGATCTCCACATCACGAGCTGGGATGTAAACTCTGTACTCGAGCGTGAAGAGCTGGGAGGCAGCAATCTCGTTAGCCTGCTTCAGGTTAGAGACGGAGACACGAAGTTTATTGTGCCTAACCTTCGTGATTTCAGTCACGGCCGAGTATCGCTTCGTCAGATCATTAGTAATTTGCATTACATTCAAAGGTTTGTTTCTGGGCTGAAAGTAGACAACCCATGGGCCAGTCGAGTCATCTGGATAGGCTCGCGATCGGGGGTTTATCTGAGCCTGTGCTTTGCCAGACTGAGACGATGAACCAGGGAGAGATGACGTACGTTTTCGACCCTTCTTGCCATCGCGTGGCAAAGTGGTGTCATCTTCCGACAAAACGTCCATTTCGTCTTGCGACAAAATGTCCATTTTGCCGTACTAGTGGGAGCGAAAAACGCTCTACCATTGAAACGATAATCACTCGGACACAATACACAAAAAAAAAACTACAAACACAGAACACAAACTTAAAATTTAACTGTGGGCGAAAGAGAGAAACAAGAACAAAAACTTATCTGATAATCCTATACTACTACCACCGAGCGTTTAAACGGCAGCAGCGGAGCGACGCGCAGCGTGGATGATCTTCGATCAGCGTGTGCGGGCGGTCTTCGTTGGTGTGTGCTTGTATGAGGGTCGGCACTCAGCTGAACACACGATGATAGATGAGCGGTGTAAATGCGGAGGCAGATGCTGACACTCGATGACGATGATCCGTGTGCAGGTATGCGTTACCACGCACCACGATGGAAAATGAACAGGTGGGCAGGAACTCACAGTCTCCCAGTGTTGGTGAGTTCTTTGCCGTTAATGTTCACGAAAAGTTCACTATTTTGCTATACAGAAATTCAAAACATAAATTTTATCTGCGGATTTGAACAGTTTTTGACCTGTTTCATACTACCGGAAGGTGTATGCTGGTCACAAATGCCGTGCCAAACTGATTTCCTACTCAATTAATCAATCTTTGATGTGAAATTCGCTAATAAACACGAGGCGCATTTCTTATAGCAAACATGCCATAAGAAAATGGGCATGGTTCATTTAAGTAAACAAACTAACACTTCTTCCGACTGTTACACCTATGTATTAGCCGTCTCGACCACGCACCGATGGTGCGCAAAATGGTTGGCGAATTGGCAATCGTAAAAACAATTTTCCTTCCGATGATGCCGAAAACACACTTTCTTCTCAGAAAAAAACTCACTTTTAGTTAATTATTTAGCTGGGAACTCTTAGCGAGAAAAAACTGACAATTTAAATCAAGCGAATAGCGAGAAAACTTCCAAAATAGCGGAGCGCGAACTAAGTCGACCGTACTTCTTGCTAGGACGCAGTGGAATGAATAGTGATAATTTGAAAAATGATAAAGTCGATTAAAATCCATCATCGCTGGATCAAAATCAGACCACTTTCATGCCGCGACCGATATTGGTTTTTTTTTTTAAATTGCACCCCTAATGTTACCTTAAAGTACATGGTATGTTAGATTTTAACATATCTAGATAGAGCTGGAGTTAGGCGTGACAGTTTTTATAAACAATGACTTCTCTCGATGATTTTTAGGTACTCAAGGCACGCCCACGCAAACCAACATTACCGTCGGGTAGGGGAAGTCTTGATGGTGATGTTGATTTGCGTGAGCGAGTCTTGACTTTAAAGACATCATCAAAAGAAGGCATTGTTTACAAAAGCTGTTACGCCCTAATTCCAGCTCTATCTTGATATGGGAATTGACATCCGATTGATGACCTTGAAAGATGTCCAGAAAATACTCTTTGTTTTTGGTGGACCGTTTTGTCGTGATTGTTGAGTAATGCTAAGCTATTAGGGTGTTAAACACAGATGAGGCTGGTAAGCTGTATGTTGTTTGGAATGAGGGTGACGCGCTTGGCATATATGGCCCACAGCGACTCACGAAGAGCTGCTGATTCCGATAAATAGCGGAGCGGCTTCTTTCTCTTTCTATGGATGCTCATGTGGGCTGCAGCTCGCTGCTTGCAGGCAGCTTTTCGTTGTGTACTAGAGAACTATGTTCAACGCCACGCTCCGAAAGCACTGCTGCTTCTGCTGCTGATGCCGACGACCGGACACCACCACACACGGTAATTGGAACTGAATCTAATCAGCGGCTTAGGCCCGCTTTGATAGAAAGCTGCTTACGGGGAGCCCTTCGTTGTGTACGAGGTGTACGAGGTGATTGAATAAACACCGTTTGGTGAGACCGGATGGGATTCAACTTTGAAATCTGTGTAAGGGAAATTGATTTTCGCAGGTAATAATTTTCATTCGTGCAATTTTCAATAGTGACTTTTTGATAAACGATAAAGTCTTAAATTTAACAGATGCGTCGAAATATTTCCCAGGTAACCAAAAGTTCTGATAAAAGGCTATTTATGGCTTAAGCACCTTGGTTGAAGGTGGTCTATAGAATTCTAAGCAGCCTCATTTTTAAGTCGTTATAAGAACTTGAAAGTTCCGGCACCATAATTGAAGAGCATTCTAAGCAGCCTCTGGCGGAACTGGAACGGAACTTTTAGAAAATAACTTAAAAAAGGTTTTTGTCCTCTACGCCAATTCTATATTTAGTTCGCACTTTTATGAAAGTTATTTCTAAAGGCAGGTATTAATGTACATTGATTTATCAGCATTAGTAGTAGTAATGGAGCTGTTTGAAGAATTAAACCCAGTCCTTCTGCGTGAGAGTCTCAGCACGAACCACTACGTCATCTGAAATATATTAAAGTGAGCTGTTGTCCCGCCTATTGTTGGAGTTTTCTGAGCCAGCTGAGTTTTCTGAGCCAGCTGACTGACTTGAATACGAAACACAACACCTTGATGAATTTAAATTGGTGTTTGCCCGCATGGTATTCCATCACACTTATGGCGCAGTGGTTGGCAATCGTAGATCACATGCCCGATACACGGGTTCGAATCCAGGAAATTACTTTTTAATTTTTTTTGATAGAATGTTGCATAAATATAAGAATTATGATATGTTCGGGCCACTGATTATTTCATATTTACGTACATTAAATTTGTGCGGATTGCTTCATGTGGCTTGAAAGTCCTGTCGGAACTTCATTTGAACTTTATGGAACTTGAAACTTCTGTCGGAACTTTATTAGAACTCTATGGAACTTGAAAGTTCTGTCGGAACTATATTTGAACTTTATGGAACTTGAAAATTCTGTCAGAAATTTATTTGAACTTTATGGAACTTGAAAGTTCTGTCGGAACTTTATTTGAACTTTATGGAACTTGAAAGTTCTGTCGGAACTTTATTTGAACTTTATGGAACTTGAAAGTTCTGTCAGAACTTTATTCGAACTTTATGGAACTTGAATGTTATGTCGGAACTTTATTTGAACTTTATGGAACTTGGAAGTGTTGAATGCGGAACTTTTGGTTACTTGGGTTCTGATCGATTGGTGATAAAATTATTGAAATTGGTCCAGGGGCAGCTGAGTTATTATCGTTCAAAATCTTTCATAATTTTGTTACATATTCCATATTCGGTTTTCACAAGGTGTATTTCCATATAGTTCTACGTCAAAAAATTGCAATAGAATGCTTGCAAAATTTGCAATGATACCTGGGTGATGTCATTGTCATGCTTATTTTTCATATGAAATCAAAATAATGTTTTGTAAGTAAAATTAGCTCTAAAAATAAAAATATGATACAGTTAAATTATGTTAACTAACATTTCAAAAAACACGTTTCTACACACTAATAAAATGCCTTCACTGATGGGTGATTTTTGAACTACAGAGCGGTTCGCTGAAAGTTTAAAAATCAGTGAACAATTCAAAAATTTGAAAATTGAGGTACATACTTTGTTCAGTTAACCCCATTTAGTAATAAACAAAATTTAAGTTTGTTGTTAGTGTTTATTGATTTATTTCTTGTAACGGTCATTTGAAATTTTACAGATTTTTCAAGCTGTTCAAAAACTCGGTAAAATTTTACCGACTCGGCAAACGCAACGGCAACGGCCTTACAAAAATACTAATTTTATTATCATTGATTCACAGTTTCTTTCAGTTCATCCCATCACAATGCACTCCTCGCTTCGATGGCTCTTGGTGGCCACCATCGTTTTTCGCGCAAGCCATCTCACCCACGCTGAAATCTTCAGTTCCAAATATGTTACCAAAGACATCGCTCAGGACATAAGCAATGGTTTGAACAACCTGGCCCACGACTTATTGGTACAGCTGCAAAGCAACAACAGCAAAGCGGAAATCATCTCTCCTCTAAGTATCGGCTCTTCTATGCTGCTTCTGCTGCGAACCGCCAGGGGCACCACACGGCAGGAACTGTTGCAGCTGATGGGCTTGACCAAATACCAAGAAAATAATCCTAAAATACCGAGGAACTTTGCACATCTGATTAACGAGTTGCTTTTCGACGATGCAACCGAAACATCTGCGCTGGATTATAACGTGCCCTGGAAGTCTCAAAGTAAATGCGAAGTCACCGACTACCATTACGATAGTGAAGATTCTGAATACGAGTAAGTGGTCAGACTAGTTTTGATAAAGTGCTTATAATGACTTGTAATCTCTTTGCAGCTACGATCGTTTCGATAGTCTTCCAGAGGATCCGTCCGTAAACAACGTGGTTAAGTTGGCAAATGCCATTTTTGTCCAGGATGGATTTTACAACAATTCCAGGCTGCATAGACTCGTTGATAGATATTATCGCAGCGAGGTGGAGTCTCTTGATTTCCACAATAATCCCAGCGAAGCAAAGAATCACATCAACAAATGGGCTGAAAAAAATACGAATGGACGCATTCGAGAAATTATATCCGACGACCTAAGCACAGAAACGACCATGGTGGTAGCCAATGCACTGTACTTCAAAGCATTCTGGGAGGATGTCTTTTTGGCTGGAGCAACGAAAATGAGGAAATTTTTCCCCAACGGAGAGAACGAAGAGTCGGTAGAGGCGGAAATAATGGCTCACGGGGGATGCTTCCCGTACTTCAAATCATCGCAGCTAGACGCGAGAATCATGGGCTTCCCATACAAGAATCGCACTTCAACCATGTACATCATTTTGCCAAACAGTTCAACTCGAGTCAAGCTGCAGCAGCTGATGGAGCAACTGGATGCTCCAACGTTGGACGGTTTGATCTCGAACATGACGATGCAAACGGCATCGGTTCTATTCCCTAAGATGCACCTTTCGACCTCTTTCGAGCTGAAATCGGCCCTTCAATCGCTGGGAACAAAGTCCATGTTCAACCGCGGGCAGAGCAACTTTTCGTTGCTAAATCCAGCGAAGACAAATGCAACCAGGGAAAGCCTTAGCGTGTCCGGAGTGCTTCACAAGGTCGATCTGGCCATCGATGAATCCGGCACCGAGGGAGCCGCAGTGACGGCTACTCTGTTGGATCGATCAATGCCGACGGTGAACTTCCGTGTGATTGTACCGTTCCTGTTGGCAATCCGGCATGATGCGACCAAGCTGTTGCTGTTCTATGGCCCAGTCTATGATCCGACAGCGTGAGAAGAGTACTACATTCCTTTTCAGGAGTAAGTGGCAGGAAGTTGTAAGCTTGTTAGTGTGTAAAGAAATATGCTTTTTCGCCAATGTGAGATGTGGGTTATGCTACTGGAAAGAAAGCCCTTTAAACTATGCACACTCAACTGCAGCCGCGATGTTCAAATATGTGAACACCATTTCGGGATCATTTTCAAATGTTACGCGAAGTAATCGATTTTCGGCTATCATAAAAATATATCATCAGAGTTGTTATGATAAAATGTGATCCAATCGTCAGCTATTTTGTTTTATTATTCAGTGGTTTTTATTGCACTTCGTTTTAATGCGAAATTATTGAAGTATCATGAGTGACAGTCCTATTTGAAGATTTTTAATATATCAGGCATAACATTTGATAACGGCACACAAGCATTTGTTAACCCACTTTCTAAGGCCCTTTACACGCGAACCAAACTACACCGACGCAAACCAACAACATCATCGGATAGGGGCAACTATCACCTTTCCGAAAGTGGTATTGGTTTGCGTGGGCGTACTTTGGTTCGCGTGTGAAGGGCCGTAGAAAGTTTGTTTGCAAATGCTTTTGTGCCGTTATCAAATGTTATGCCTGATATTGTTTGTGAATAATACAATTGTAACTTAATGTAATGTACTGCTTATTTATATAAATCTCACATGGTCAAGTTCAATGGATCCCGTTATTGTAGTTTGTAATAAATGCTATCCTTTTCAATCTCGATGAGATATTTGAGACAAACCTTTCAAAGTAGGATAATTCTTCTTAACGAACTTGCTTAAAATTATGGAGACAATCACAATGGCAGTTGTTATATTTTACGAAAATTTCAAAAGAACTCTATCACACTACACCCATTTGAGTGCATAACGAGATATGTACATCATTTCAAATTTTCAATAATCCAATCCAGGTAGTGAGAAACTTTGGTATACACACCGGGTGCACTTTCCTTGCCACAGGATGCCAGTCCCCATGAAACGACTCCGTGAATCACGTACGCTTTGTTCCCGAAATACTGCAGGGGCCCACCGGAATCCCCTTCGCAGTTGTCCGCACCATCGCTACCACCTCCGGCGCATACCTGGCTCTCGTCCACAGTGTAGACATCGTGAATCTGTCTGATAGATTGTTGGCATTGGTTCTGCTCAACAATCGGTATGTTCGCAAACCGCAATTGATTGGATGTCGCATTACGGTCTTCGGTGAAACCCCAACCAGATACCACCATTTTGGGAGGTATTTTCCTGCGCAACATTTCCGGTAACGGAAGGCAGATGGGCTTTACGTCTGTTAAGTAAAACGATTTTCATGAATCATTCTGCTTGACAATCGACAATCAAAAATACTTGACAATACTTACTATCATTCATCTGCGCTGGTTTTGAGAGCTTGACTAATGCAATATCATTCTTTTTTTGACTGGTGCTGTAGAGTTTATGCTTGATGAATTGAGCCACTGAAATGTCCTGATACTTTTCAGCACAGTCCTCTTCACTCTGAGCGTGGTTGCAGTCTATCTCTGTGGATAAGTCCGTTTCTCCAACGCGCACAAAAAATCTGTAATTTAAAAAAAAAAAACAATAATTCACTTGTAAACGCTGAAGAGTTGTGTGACAACTTGTGTCTACCTACACTCTCGAACGGAATTGATTACAGTGGGCCGCTGTAAGGACGAAACTTTCCGCAATTAGACTTCCTCCACAATGAAAGTCTCCGTTTATACCACCGAGCAATGCCATCCAAGGATATTGGAACACCTCGGCTATTTTCCCATGTGCGATGCGTTGTGTGCTTTGTCTACCGCAGATCTTAAGATCCAGCAGGTCACGACCTGATTTTCCACCTGGGGGCAATGCATTCAATTCGTCCCTTCTGATCCCTGGTTTCGGTTTGCAGCAGAGCTTGTAGATCTGAAAATGTGAAGTAGTTTTCATTTTGCTTATGGCATGATATCTGAGGACTGTTTTTTTTTTCTCGTATGATGTGAATGGTATGTTTATACGAAATGAGGATGAATTTTACGCTTCGTTTCAATACATCATATTTGACACAAAGTGTTATCACCTGCGATGAGTTATTCAATTCAATCAAACGTTCATTTCGTTGCGTACCTGGTTTTTGACGTTCGCTGGGCATTGACATAACCCTGAGGATTGCTTAACGGCAACCAGGTACCAAGGCTTGTCTGCATCTTTACATTTTGAAAAATGCACACTCACACCAAAATTTTGATTCAAGTTCCAGCAAAATGAATTGCTGAACTGGTTCCAGTAAAACCACATTTCACCGACCATCCAGTATTTTGAAATATTTCGCTGGAATCTCAGTAAATTGTATTCGATCTGTCAAATGAAACGTCAGTGCTAGAAAATTAAATTTCCCCATATGTTTGACTTCCGAATGCAAAATTCGCAGTAAATTGGCTATATTCTAGCATCATGTCGAGGGGGGGCGACACATCTAAATGTCAATTCTAGATGCTCAAAAAATCTCATACTAGCGAAAAAATCTTCGAAAAATCTTCTTTCATTTCTCGCATCTACTTGCATCGCGCACAATATTTCCTGCATCGTAGATAGAGTCATCCCCCTCGCATCATTTTTCTATTTAAAACGAGGTTTACTTATACACCAACAAGTAAGTACAGCATTTTGAATGTTTAATCCTAAAAAAATCATGCTGAAATTAAGAAAAATTATAATTTATCTCTATGCTTGAAAGAAACAAAACCGCAACATGACCGGATCAGAAGACGCGTCTGTCTGTTTTATAGTAACTATCAACAAAATGTGTGTTCTAGATACCGTATGCATAATAGCCAATATAACTAGCCTAGTATAAATATCGATATTTAGAATGAATTGTGGTACACATTGAATTCCAAACCTTTAACATTTTTTATTCCTTCATACTGTAAAATAATTGCTCCTCCTATTTGCTGCAGCATCAGTAAAATGTTGCTGGTTTTTCAGCAATCTGCGGTATCTTTATTGACAGAACATTTTACTGGTAATTCAGCAAAATTATTTTGCTGAAACGATTGCTGAACTTCCAGCTCGGCATAATCCAGCAAAATTTTGCTGGTTTACGGCATTAAAAATTGGGTGTGAGTGATGCCATTTGTGATTATGCCCGAAAATCGTAAACGGCCGATTTAAATGTGCTGTGATCCGAACTGTCAAAACCATAGGATTTTTTAATCTAGTTAAAAAATAATTTGTTAAGAATAGATCAGACACGAACCAATTAATTCATGCTGATTTCATGGCATAGCTAAATATTTCCCGCAAACACGCTGCCACATGTCAGTAGTGTGTTTTGGTCAAAAATTTTATTTGTCGGTGATGTAGCGGTCCAAAAGTATGTTGGAATTTAACAACTAGCCTAAATTAAATAATTTCGTAGTTAGGTAGAATTAAGATTTTAACAATGAATTGCATTTTGCAATTGCAAAAACAAAAAAAAACTTTTATATTTTATATATTTGGTTCAAAACTTTTGGAATGTGAAATCACACAGGTACGTTTGAATTTGGCTGGATCGAGTGGCGATTTTCTTTTCTTTAGACGATGGTCAATCCACGAAACTGATCCTAGAACTCCATGGTTTTTTTTCGAAAACATCAGGAACTGTGAAATCAAGGTTTTTTTCACAGTTTCATGTATGAAACACTTCAAGTGGTAAGCGTGATTACCTCTCACCCCAGAAGGCCTGGGTTCAATCCCAGTCGGCGCCGCCGGGATGTTCTGAGGCATAACATCTCTGACCACGCCTTCCTTCGGATGGGAAGTGAAGCCGTTGGTCCCCGGTTCATGAGTTGATGGGTCGATAGGTAGGGTCCAGGTGTGGGAGCTGCCTTCCTGGCCGTCGGTAGCATTGGTGCTCAGCACGGAAAACAAGATCGACGGAAAAAACAAACCAAAGGAAATGTATGAAACACTTTTACGGATGTTTCGGATCTTCCGAATGATGGTCCAATGGCCATCCAGATTCATGTTTATATCACGACCCCAAATTCATTCTTATAACACAGTTCCTAATATTTTTTGAAATAAACTGCGGAGCTCTAGGATCAGTTTCATGGATTAACCACTTTTAAGAATGTTCCAGATCTTCCAAAGGACGGTCTCATGCCCATCCAGGTCCATGTTTACGTCACAACCTGTTTTTTTCTTATATCACAGTTCCAAGAGATTAAAAAAAACTGCTAAGCTCTAGAATCAGTTTCATGGATGAACTAATTTTAACCGATGCTTTGAATCTTCTGAAGGATGGTTCCATAGCTATCCGGGTCCATGTTTATGTCACGACCCCAAATTCTTTCTTAAATTACAGTTCCACGTGTTTTCGAAAAAAAAAGCTGTGGAGCTCAAACATCAGTTTCATGAATTGACCACTTTTATGGATGTTTATGATCTTCCGGAGGATGATATTTTGGCCATCCAGGTCATGATCCTAAATTCTTTCTTATATTACAGTTCCTAATGTTTTTTGAAAAAAACCGTGGAGCTCTAGGATCAGTTTCATGAATTGACCACTTTTACGGATGCTTCGGATCTTCAGGAGGACGATATTATGGCCATACAGGTTCAGGTTTATGTCATGATCCCAAATTCTTTCTTATATAACAGTTCCTAATGTTTTCGAAAAAAAAAAACTGCGAAGTTCTTAGATCAGGGCTTTATGGATAGACCAGTTTCACGGATGTTCCGGATCATTCGAGGACCGTTCCGTTATCTCTATGTTCCATATATAGGAACCATGATTGTATAATGAACATTTGAGCCCATTAATCTAAATTATGGATCTTAAGCCACTTGCAAAACCCATAAATACACCTTTAAAAAACGTGTAATGACTCTTTTCACTTTTGAATAAAGTAGACGACCCTATTTTTAATCTTTTTACAATCAAAATAATCTACAGACCCTATGAATAGTAGATATATCACTGTTTTTGCAATTCATCAAGAAATGGCTAAGCTATGCTATTGCAAACTTGCCTTACACGTTTTTCGGTGGCTTCGTAGTCGGCGTAAAGTATATTACGCACCGTATTCGGAGTGTTAAAGTGAATAAATCGAACTGTTTGTCGCTAAGATGATTTCGGTGGTCCCAAAATGAAGAATGGGCTGCACGTATAGAGACATGATTGATAATATCCTGGTAAATACACTTTAACTTAAAGGGATGTTTACCGTCCCAAAAATAAAAATTTAGTTTTGGCACGTTATTATTTTTCTAAAAATATTGGGGAAAAATATCAAAAATCCAAGAAAATCAGTTTCTTCCTAAGATTCTTGACAAAAATTACATGTAATCATATTTATTCTATCTTATCATGAAAAAAATTGGACTGTCAGCAAAACCAAAAAGTCGATGTTTTGTGGTTTTTTGAGTCCAAATTTATGCCATGATGACTTAAAAAAAATTTTTTTACTTGAATTTTCTTTAGAAAAATAGAAAAAAAAATGTGATTTTTTTTAAGATTTTTGATATCTTTTTCCAATATTTTTAGAAAAATCAATACGTATTTTTTTTTTGAGCGTTGAACTTCCCCTTAAGTAACATTATGGGGCCACCAAACGACGTATAATAACTTTAACAGTATTTTTTTAGTAGTATAATTAAAACCCTGCTTGATATGTTAAACATTGCTAGCACTATGAGATTATATGTGGTCATGAAAAATTGCTGTTGATTACGTCTTTTTTGGACTTATATCGGCATCTGAGAAATTTTTTAAGGGGATCCGCTCTAAATGAACGAAATTATAGTACTATAAGAGTGCAACCAATAAGTGGGCGCTACTCTATTTTACTGAGTTTTAGTCATCCACCGTAAATCTGGAAAATTCAGTACTTGCTATTACCGTATTCAGTAGTTTGTCGCAAAAGCTACTGAACATCCGTAGAATTTTCGAATGTTTGGTATGTTTTTGTGATTTACAGTTAAAAAACTGTAAAAAAAATACCGAACAGGGAAGCCGTGATTAAGTGTGTCGGATGGAATTTGAATAAAGAAGCAGTGTTTGATTTTTAACAACATCTCAAGAATTTGTGACTCTTATTCAAATCTATGGAAAGGTAAGGGAGAACAACCCATAATGCACCCCTGGGGTAAAATGCCCACTTCAGAATAATGTGAATACGAATTCATTTTTCGTATATTTTTTAGATGCTTTACTTCATGAATCATATCACAGTATAACACTCCATTCTGATGTAACATAAAGATTTTTTTTTTTTTAATTCTTTATTTAAGAGATTTTTAGCCTTAGGCTAGTTCATCTCTACGTAACATAAAGAAATAATCATTTAAAATACCTAATTCCTTTGAATTCTCTACTTGCAGAGGTTATGGTTTGTTTACCATCCGGTGCATTTTACCCCAATGTTGTGGTGCATATTGCACCATGAATCAGACGTTTTGCCTCGCTATCATTTTGGAACTTATGTATGAAATACATTGAAAATCATGTTTTGTAGTTCGAAATCACTCTAGTGTTGGGAATCGAAAATCTTTGACAGTGGTTTTCTTACACTTCTATAGAGAACAACTGGTGCAAGTTTGATCAAAGTAGTCCATCGCGTTGTGAAATAACGTCAAATGGAACTCGAAAGAAGAACAAATATTTTGCACAAGCACCTTAAAAATCCGGTTCCAAGCTTGCTAATGTGCTGAAGATGCCGAAACAACAGTTTGTCGAGTGCTCAAAACCTACAAGAAAACCTTGAGTGTGGAAAGGCATCAGTGGACCTACGAAGAAACTGGAACCAGGGATCGTCAACTGCGCAGCAAGGTGTTGAGGTGCGTTAAAGCCAACCTCGGTCTTTCGATCCGATATGTGGCCAGAAGGTACAACGCCAACTTTCAAAGGGTGCGGAACATCCTTGCCAGCCCAAGCAACACACATGTTCTATAACAGTTTATATAACCTTTGTATGACTGATTTTGGTCGTAAAGCAGTTTACTCAACATAATTCTATGAATTTGTGTTACTTGGGATGGAAGGATACTAGTCGTACAAAGCCAGTACACATCCGAACCTGAGTACTGCGAACTTAACCGATTTTATTTTTCAAGTGAGCTAGAAAACATCTTGAAAATCTTTCGAAGTTTCAAATTGTTTTATTGAAGCAGCTCACAAAATTGTATATACATGCTGTCAAATGAACTCTTGGCTCCTCCTCCTCTGCTCCAGAAATAACGTATACATGGTGATGGGAGTGCACCTGCCCACAAAGCTCACATGACTCTTATAAAGTTTGATTACATTCTTGTTTCAGCAACCCTGTTTATCAAATAAAAACACTTTTTCGAGCATCACGCTCGATGATTTACATTATCCGCCTACTAAGGTTGATGTTTCGACAGTTTCATAATTATAATTCTTAATTTGTTTTCTGTAGGTGGCAACACCTTTACTTGTGGTTCAAACAGTAACTACCTACGTGACTTCTGAGCTCTTTTGAATGTTTGGCTCCCGTTTGACAGTTTGACTCGGCTCCCAGATGACAAGCATTTTGAGTTAGTTCGCAGCACTCAGATCCGAACCGGCACATGAAGCAGAATTCCGTGGCCTAAAAACGTGCAAGACTCCGTGTTTTTACGAAACACAAGGGCTGCACTTTGATCGATGACGAAACATACGTCAAACTCGATTTTAAGCAGCTTCCCAGTCAAAAGTTTTACATAGCGACTGGATGTGGGGATGTGCTGAAAAGATTCAAGTTCGTGTTTGCCTACAAGTTCGCGAAGAAGGCCCTGAGTTGGCAAGCGATTTGCAGTTGTGGCCTGAAAACGGAACCATTCGTCACATCCTCGACGATCCCAAGTTTATATCCAAAGTTTACATCGAAGAATGCCGGAAAAAGCGTGTATTGGCGTTAATCCGCAAGCATAGTTGCAAAGTCATCCTTTGGCCCGATTTGGCCAGCTGCCACTATTCCAAGGTGGTTCTGGAGTGATATGCTACCAACAAGATCGATTTTGTCCCCAAGCTAATGAATCCTCCGAATTGCCCGGAATTTCAACCAATCGAAATATACTGGGCAATTTCAAAGCAGCGACTTCGACGAAGTGGCGGGGCAGTCGAGGACATCCAGCAAATGCGGGCAAAATGGGAGAAATGCGCTGATTTCGTGTCCGTTTCCACTGTGCGGGCGCTGATGGGCTCCATCAAGAGGAAGGTTGGAGATTTTGTTTGAAATGGAGAAATGTAACCATTAGACTGATGCAAAATTTGAAATTTTTGCTCCACAGTGCTCAAACGGTTTCAAATCAGGTCCTGATAAGCCTCCCAAAATTTAAACTCATTTAGTAAGAAACTGACTTGGCACAAACTATTCGCAATAACGGTTTTTCAGCCAAATGTCAAATTAAATTGTTATTAAATGTTTAAGAGATTGATAATCTTATGGCATGATCAAGTAGCTGTTCTGTAAGCAACACTGTATTCTGCAGTGTGACATAGTAGCCATGATGTTTGTGTTCTATTCTTCGCACCAGAAACACCAATGTTGCCTGCTGAAAAGTTGAATGAGCATAATCATAAGACATCAGTGACTTGAATCATTAATAACTTTTGTTCCTTACATTTGATTAAAAATTAGTTTTCACCAAAGTTGTAACTGGGAAAATTTGCTACAATCACTGCTATCATTTTTAAAAGCATAGTGATGTGGTGAACTTTTAGATAGATATGAACAAAAACATAAGTTTTCCCATAGTTATTCCCATATAAACTTGAAATGGTTTGTGCCAAGTTAGTTTCTTACTAAAGTAGTTCAAATTTTGGGAGGCTAAGCAGGACCCAATTTGGAACCGTTTAAGCACTGTGGAGCGAAAATTTCAAATTTTGCATCAGTCTAGTAACCATCTAATGCTGTAACTTTGAAGTTTTAATAAAAGTTCTGTAAAGCAACTGTGGGAGCATAAAAATTTAGATGTTCTCAAATCTCTGTGCTAAAACATCGTTTATAAAAGCTATCATTGCAAACTGCCTTCGCTTTTCAAGATCGAGAATCATGAGATGGTAAGGGTAAACTCGTCCAGCCTAACTTTCTTAGAGCAAATAATAGAAACTGTTTTTGAACTGATTCAATGTGGTTTATATGAGTATCTTGATATGGAGCCCAGACTACTGTACTCAAAGAGGGGCCTAACATATGCAACGTATAATGTTTTGATTGTGTATGGATCATTGAAATGAACGCTAAGCTTTTTAATAAACCCTAGCATGTTGTTTGCCTTGTAGATAATGTTATTATAATGTTCAACAAAGCTGAATTTTGAATCTAGTATAACACCTAAATCTCTAACTTGATTGCACCTTTCAACTCTGTTTTGTCCTATTGTTACATGTTCTTGCCTAATAATTTTCTTTCTTGTAAATTAAATGGAATTACATTTCTTCACATTAAGCTTTAATAAACTTTTTGTGTACCAAGTGTAAAAGTTATCAATTTCTTGATGAAATACTACAAGATCAGACGTTTCACGAATTTCCAGGAAAAGTTTCATTTCGTCTGCATATATTGAGACATTCAGGATATTCAATATGTGCTCTACATCATTAACAAATAGAATAAACAGTAATGGTCCAAGGTGAGAACCTTGTGGCACACCAGATGTTACATTGACTACTGACGACAAATATCCTTCAAATCTAACTCTCAGTCAAGTATGACTGAATCCACTTTAATAAATGTTGACTAAAATCTTACTTAGATCATTTGAATAGCAAAAGAGGGATATCAACTCTATCAAACGCTTTACTGAAGTCAGTATATAGTGCCTCAACATAATGCGCCTTATCCATTGCGTTAATAGAAAATGTTACAAAATTCAACAGATTAGTAGTCGTTGCACGTCCTTTAACAAAACCATGCTGTTTGCCTGTAATTTTTTTTTATATCTTTATTAAGGAGACTTTCAGCCCTGGGCTGGTTCGTCTCCTGTAATTAAATGTTTAACTTGTGCAAAAACACTTTGATTTATTTTAGATTGAAACAAGGTTGCAAATACTCATTTCAGCTAAAATAATGTTTTTCGAAATAATAAAACCAAAAGATGGTATGATGGCATGTTCTACTAGTAACTTACAAGAAGAGGTTACAAAGTATGCGTTTGAAACATAAAACCTGTAAATGTTGCTTTCTATGAGTCACAATCAGCGATTTTCTGATCGCTGAGTGAGTGAGCGAGTGAGTGTGTGAAAAATCGCTGATTGTGACTCTCATGAAGTGAAATAAACAGGTTTAATATGTCAAACACATTTTTTGCAACCTCTTCTTGTATCCTACCAATTCAAAATATAATCATGGCATCTAATTATTTCATAATTAAAAAAAAACATTGTTCTAGCTGAAATGAGTATTTGCAACCTTGGATTCAAAGAGTTTAGGAATGCAGGACAATATAGCAACTAGGAGGGGTGGGGGTGGTTGGCAATCATCCACGGTCCATACATTAAAAAAAATTGTATGGAAAATTGTTTACACAGGGGGAGGCGGGGGGTCAAGGATCCCAAAAAACTGTCTACGTAGTTAATGAACAGCCCCTAAGGAACTTTTGCAACTATTTAGAAACGGCTTCAGCTAGTACAGAATTTCCACTTTTAAGTATTTTGCCATGAACTTGGATTCCGGTTATCTTCTACGTTGTTTGATTTGCGCATCCTATCACATTGTGCTGCTAAAAATCCGCATCACTTGACGTTCCACACTTGACCAATCGCATCATCTTCAAATTAATTCCATGGGTTCTAACGCAACAACAAGTCACACACACGCAATGATTTTCACTAAAATCTACTACTAACCCGTCCGGTTGTCCCCTGTTCCATGCCGCAGTATAATCCTTTGACTTCGTTGTGCACATGTCGGGGCCAGGTCTTAGCCGGTACGCCAACGTATGATTGATACTCTGGACAATCATTAAAAGGCATACACTTTCGCTGGTCGCTGCACTGCTGTTGACCAAAAACCACTGCCAGAACACTGCCGAACAAAACTAATACCGCTCGCAGTTCCATCTCGACTCAAGTCGACTGACTCGACGAAGCTTTAGATCAAACGCTGTCGGTCGTTATAAAATCCTGCGGCGAGAATTAATAAAATGCTATCTCGGTGGGGATTCAACTTCGACTGGCGATGCGCAACTAGGGGGAACTGGTTTTTTACCGCGGTGTCGTTTTCACATCGTAGCTGCCAGGGCACAGTGGTTCCTGGCTGGCCAAAACCTCAAACATTAAAGTTGATATTTTTTTAATTCAATATTTTTTTATCATTTTTACATGTTAAGAATATCTTAAATTGAATGATTTGTGCAGTTCTGTTGATAACATATTTTTTTATGGTTGTTATAGTGTAGCGATATCACAAATTTTTTAAAAAAATCGTAATGTTTCTTGTTACTGTTTTGCTCAAATATAGCAAAAAATAATGTGTTTATCAACTTGGTTGCTTCAGAAGAAATGTTCTTCGGCTTATTTCACATCAAATGGATGGTAAAAAAGAGTGTCTGCGCTGTTTTAAGTGACAGTTTCTCATAAAAAATTTGCAAAAATATACTTTTTTCACATTTAGACTAAGCAAAACATATGACGGACACATCCGCCCACTATCTTTTAGTAATCAAAAGATAGCTAGAAAAATTAGCTTTCAGATAGGCTTTTATGTGTTTTGCGTTTTTTTGCGAAAAGTGTTGAAATTAGGAATAACAAGTTAAGTGTTCTTTGGAAAATATCCGTTTCTAAGTTATATAATCTGCGGTGTATACAAGCAAGCTTCACAATGCCTTTTTCTAAGCACGTCAACCCGCACACACATACACACACGCACCATATATCTATCTCTTATGGTTCATGAGTTATATTTTTTTAACAAGCTGGTTAGGGTGCCCCTAGACAATCGGCATTCTTTAAATATATTTTTATACGTTCATTTCTCGTGAAATTTTTATGCTAGACACTTCAAGAACTTTTTATGACGCATATTTTTGTTAAGTTGATATCTATTTGATTTGAAAAGTTATGGCTAGTTTTTGCTGAAAAATATTACTTCTTTTAAATTAAATTAAATGCTTTAAACAGAAAAATCTCTTGCTGTTTATTTTTACCAAAAATGAAGAAAAAACGATGTTTCCAATAAAGAGATGAACTAGCCATATAGCTAAAAATCTCAATAATAAAGAAAAAAAAAGATGTTTCCAATGAAATTAAATGTTTGAAAATTGGTTTGCTCCATTTTGAGATATTGCCAATTGAAAAGAGCCATTTTTTCGAAGAAAATAGCCTTTAACTTTCTAATCAAAAAAGATACTAACCTAGTTTCTTGAGCAAAAATATGCGTCATCAAAAGTTCTAAATGAAATCATAACAATGTTTTTACAAAAAATTAACGCATGAAAAGATATTCAAAGAAAACCGATTTTAGTAGCCACCCTAACCTGTTTGTTTAAAAAAATCATAACTCATGAACCAGAAGAGATAAAAAGAATGTGTCTTGAACAAAGTTGCTTTGAATTGATTGTTCTACAACTGTTTAGAACACTGCTTTGGTCTATCTCAAATAATAAAAAAGTTTGTATACTTAATTCACCAATTTTATGGACCACCCTAATTTTACGAACATAAAAAGATTGAACAAAAAATATGAAGCAACTTTTCTTAAGAAACCATATTCCTAAAACTGACGGTTTGGGCGCAAACATTTTTGTCTTCCTAAATACGGCTTTGGGACCATTGTGCATTGGTTTTTGTTCTACTATACTCCTTTTTGTGACGTCTTGATTGTCAAGATTTCTTCGTACAGCTAAAAAACATCTATTTCAACTGTTTTTGTCTATTTACAGCAATTTTGAGGTTTTGGCCAACTTTTGTTCTAAGGGGAACCACTGTGCAGGGTTGCCACGTTTGAATATGTAAATCTGTATTTTGATGCAAAAAAAATGTATTTAAGCAGAGTTAATAAAAAAAATGCGTTCAGAGCATATATTTCCTATTCAAAGAAAAATTTGCATCTCTTCTAACAACCGTATCATGTCATTAATGCCATATGCAATTTCTTCCTGAGCTGGCAATAATTTTCTAACACTGAGCATTTCACAACTGAAAAATATTTGCTTTTCACCTAGAGAACTGAATTCTTCTAGTTTTTTTTATAAGCGAGATTTTTAGCTAGTTCATCTCGTTGCATTCTTCAACACAGCAAAAAATAAATTTGAATATAACATCCACTTCAATCATGCCGAAAATCCCAGGTCATTTTTATGGCCACAAAATAAAAAAAAAAATGCAGTAAAAGTAGTATAATGTCAGTTCATGCACTGTATTAATGATAATTTTGTCCTTTTTGGCAAGTAATATTACACCATATTTTTGACACGATTGAAGTGCATCCACTTTGATGTGATATCAAACTTAAGTTTTTGCTGTGTAGGTTAAAAGTAAACATGTTAAATTAAATGTACTCCATACATCAAAACGATTTGAAACCTGTTGACATTTTTGTATCACATAATATTTGCCCGAGAGGAATCGTTAACTTACATTTGTCTAAGCTACTTAGTCGGCGGAGACGAACCAGCCCCAGAAATCCTAACCTAACCTGCGCCACTTAGCAAATTTACAGTATATAAAGTCTTTACTCTTGTGATGGTTTAATATATACTATATGAACATGAGAACAATAAATAATTTGGTAATAAATTCTGTGCACGCTGAAAATGACTTAAGCGCAATGAAAACATAAATCGTTTTACATTTCAAAATAACCAGGAAAATTATTTGAATTCGAGTAAAATCTGTACAATCTGTATTTTTGCTAAACATGTGTTCATCTGTATATACAGATTCTTGATCCTGAAATGAGTCAACACATCTGTAAAATACAAAATAATCTGTACATGTGGCAGCCCTGGGCACAAGTAGTGTTGAATAAGCGAGTGCTCTTTGATGTTAGACTGCGAAACTATCGGTGGGAAATCCCTCTTTTTCCTTGTAGGGCTGTATCATTCGGAAGAAACCACTCTAGCGGAATATGAAGTATTAAAAGGCAACTAACCATCACGCAATTTACTTCTTCTTCTTCTTGTATTCCTGCCCGCATTATCATGTGTCCCACACTTATAGTAAAACACATCCATTTCACGTGCGAATCTTATGCTGAGCCTTAACATTATTGATTCGAATTGTGACACACTTGGAGTCATTGTGCCTCACATGGTGATATCAATAGCTTTGCACATCATGTTCTACATTATTCTGCTTTATCGACTTCTACTTGGCTGACTCTAAAAATGAATCGACAAATATATATATACAAAGCTGCCAGAGGACAGGAGCTTGCACATGTCTTATTTTAATGGGTCTGATTTGGGTTTCGATCCTGGACTGTTGGGGTGATCTGCTTCCGTTATCTTCGTTCGATTTCACTGGGCCACGGTTGTTCTCTTATATATGAGGCTGGATAGTAAGTATGAAGTCACAACTCATGTTTTCGATGTTTACCTAAGCAAAGTCGGATATCGAAATATTATCAAAATTATATCAAATTATGTTTTTGAAATCATATTGCTAACATATTTTGATATACTTTTTTTTTTAATTTCAGTTGAATTCATATTTTGATATTATTTTGATATTTCTAAAAAAATATAATTAAAAACAAAATTTGATATTTTTTGAAAAGAGCATCCACGATTCATCCTGTTATTTTCTTTATGAACATCACAAAAACAATTCTAGCTAAACATTGCATTAGGTTCTAAGTAACATTGATCGATTCTCTTCGTTGATAATTAATAACTTGAGCACAAAACCGTTTCTTGTTGTGTTTGTCGTATTAGATGCTAGATTAAAGCTTCTTTTACAGATCAGTGTGTTGAAAATACATGGGAATGTCTTTACATGGCCGTGGAGATACAAAGAGAAAGTCAACGAAGATAATCTGTCAATGCAAACGGCGCCGGTGGTGTAGTGGTAAGCGTGATTACCTCTCACCCCAGCAGGCCTGGGTTCAATACCAGTCGGCGCCGCCGGGATGTTCTGAGGCATAACATCTCTGATCACGCCTTTCTTCGGATGGGAAGTAAAGCCGTTGGTCCCCGGTTCATGAGTTGATGGGTCGATAGGTAGGGTCCAGGTGTGGGAGCTGCCTTCCTGGCACGTCGGTAGCATTGGTGCTCAGCACGGAAAACAAGATCGACGGAAAAAACAAACCAAAGGAAAAAAAAAATCTGTAAATGTTACTTAGGACCTAATGCAATGTAAAGCTTGAATTATGATTTGTACAGTTATATTTTACAACATTTCTTGATATTAATCAACCTGCGAATTTAATTTACTAATCGATTTAAGATAGATATCGATAGAACTGATTTAAATATAGGTTTGTTTTTTTTTTGAATAAATGAAAACTTATTGATAACATTTTTTGATTTTTAATCTTGATATCAACCAATAGATTCCAAAACAATCAGATTACTAAATTTGATATCATGATGTCAAAATAATAACTAATTAAGTTTTTTTTTTGATTACTTATTTTGTTTATTATTAACGAAATTAATGATATCTAAACGCATACATGGATTTGTTGTCAAGAAAACATGATTTGTTATCTTTTTGATATCCTTCATATACCATTTAGATCTCATTTTTGTTATGATTACTGTTAACTCGACCACACGGTAGGCAAAATATGTTATCACGAACGCTTATATCAAAATATCAAATTTAGTTTTCATTTTGTTTTCATTCTCTGCTCGGGTACCTTGTAGAACAAGCAATTCTCGTGGCATTGAAATGTCATCTGTATCAGTAGTGATTCAATGTTTTTTTTTAACTTTAAGAGATTTTTAGCTAAAATGTGAATCAATGTGCAATGGACTTAAATTGTGGAGAAAGATTATCAACATTTCAAAGTTATATACACTAGAAATCAACGTGTAGAACACATTGAACCATGGTGAAATACACTTAAAATAAAAGTGATTGTGCTTATGAACCATATGAACAATCAAGTATTTGTGGACATTGTTAGTGTAAATCATCACTTCCTAGACGCTATTTCAAAACTACCCAAATTTGGGTA